GCACTAACTGAGACCTCTCTTAACTGAAAAACGGGTTCACGGATTTAGATGAAATATGGCACTTTGATCGTTTCCCTGCAGGAAACTTACACAATTTAAATGTAATTTATAAACGATTTTATTTTCAATGATAACTAATTGAAATTCTCAATATTTTACCTGCAACAAACTCATTTGTTTAACATGGCGATGTCCTAGGAAGCATTCAATTACCTTTTCCAGCATGTATTTTCAACTAATTTAAAATGTATTTGGATTAAAAAACTTTAAGGTCAGTCGTTTGCATTCGCTTTCGTTCAGCCCTTCAGCTTTTTCATAATTAACAAAACTCGAAATAAAAAATTTTAAATTAAATGTTTCGCCAAATGAGATTTGAACATGAACACTCATGGCCGCAACCAATTGTAGCAAACATTTTTGCACGCTCAGTTTGATGCAATGTTTGCAATGTTCAGTTTGAATTTTGTGCAAGCAGCAAATCAACTGTCCGACTCTGCATTTAATTTCAACTACTTTAAAATGAATTGCGTTTAAACAACTTCAAAGTTAGTATGTTTCTTTTGAAAACGCTTGCGTTCTGCACCTCACAGATGCTTTTTCATACTTCCAAGACACAAATTGTTTGTTTGAGTATAAAAAGTATCGAAATTCGAAACATTTACTCATTGCATTTGTTTTAAAGTTGATTTAAAAGAAAATCACTTGCTTCCGTTAGGGAATATTTGGAATATTTTTTTAGGTTTTCTAAATTTAATTTTGGGCGTTTTAACGCAATGCTGGTTCACTACTAATCTATAATATGTACGCATATTAGTGTGCTCTCTTAAGGTTCTGCATGGGCACATGAGTTTGAAAGATGTCTCTGCATAAGATGCGAATAAGAATTGAAACCAATGTGGAAGCTGCTCTGGTTAACTCGTCTGCAGCCTCGTTCCTGGAATGTTGCGATGACCAGGGATCCAAACTAAATCTAGGTCGAGCTGACTACTAACTGAATTTGAAAGCTTCCTACACTCCTTTTTTAGCCTCTACCTCGTTGTAAAAGACGTCAAGGCCTTAATGGCCGCCTGACTATCTGAGAAAATGACGCTGATGATGATGAGGTCGTATATAATCGATAGCCAGTCTCATCTAAGGTGGCAATCGAGAAATTATACTGCTGTGCCCGACCGCTCTTTCCTTTCACATGCTCAGTTCTTTTAGTCTTATATACGATAGTGGTGCCGTGTGCATTATGTGAAGGCCTATAGGAAATGGGTTTGTAATAACATTGCGAACGTCTGCAGGACAAGTTCTCATTGCCCCTCTGAACTCTACTAAGTTTCACATGATTATACTGGTTCTTTAAGAGTGTCCACCATACCAGAGAACCGTAGCATAAGATCGGACGTACAACCGCTGTGTACTTTCAGAGTGCCACTTTTGGATTTTGGTCCCATGTCTTCTCAAAACGCTGCTTACAGGAGTAATAGGCAATGCTCGCTTTCTTTACTCTCTCTCCAATACTTCGATTCCAACTTAGCTAAGGATCCAGTATGACTCCCAGATACTTCGCTTGTTTAGACAATCGTAGGTTTTGTCCATCCATTTAGCTTTGATACTTCAAAGTAAGGGACCTTATTCCTGGCCGTAAATAACAATAATAATTATTATTGGGATTATAATCCCAACGGTTTTTACCCTCCATTTCCGCCCATCCGCACGAGGGGTGCAGTCCGCATGACGTACGGAACCTGTATTTTCAATTTTTGCGCCGAGTTGTTAAGTTGAGTGGTTGACAAGAACTAGTAAAGAAATTTCTGTACGATTTTTGAAAGAAAATTCTTAAAAAAATTGTGAAACCCCTCAGCTAAAATCCTGGTATGCAGGGTATAAAAATACATACGAATATGAATATATAAAGAAGCTGTTGATGACACAAGGAGTCATACCAACGGTAAATGTTGTTTTTGTACGATTACTACAACGTGTAGTTATTGAACCATGGTTTCACCACTCGCTAGCTGTTGGCGAATCGGTGGCGGCTTTTATTGCTTACGATTTAGGAAAAAATACTTTCGAAATTTATCCTTGCGATATAACTCCCAACCAAAGAATTTGTATGTGGAAAATGAAGAATAATTATAACTTTTGAAATTATTTTATAAAACTTTTATTTATGCAATAAGTGATCGTTTTATGCTTAGAAATATATATAAATAGAATTATTTGTAATTGCAGCAGTTCAAAATCTTATTTTACTATACACACATATGCGTAAATGCACTTTAAGAATACTGATTTGCTAC